ACTAGATATTATAATTACAAGTTGATTCCCACGTACATCTTTCGTCATAAGAAAAATTTCGAATGCAAATGAACAGATCTTTTGAACTAAGATATATCAACGCTATTGACTTTATTTCAAATGATTGCGCAATAATAGTAAAATTTTACATCATTTATCTGAATACATGGTCTTTTGAAATTTTCTTCGACTCTTCTTTCTTATTTGGTGATGATGCTTTATCTCTACTGTACTTATTAAAGTAAATAAAACAGGTGCGGCCTCTATTCCAACTGATTATGTGTTCATAGTCTTTAATAGTATGTAAACCTAAGAAGTTTTGATGAACAATAGTTAACGTTTACGAATCAAATTCAGTCTAAAAATGCAGAGAAAGATTGTATCTGAATTTTGGAAACTTTTGTGGACATTCTGTTGTTAAAATTCAACAAACAATCTAGATAAACAAAATAAATCTCCATTTCTTTTCCTTTCTTTCTTGCTTGTCGCAGCATTTTCATCTTGTATTCGTTTCTATAATATTGCAATTTCATCAAATTCAAACCAAGCGCCACGTTTCATTGCAAAATGACTGCGTCATATTCATATTTCATGAAGCAGTAGCAAAACAGAACAACACGAAAAAATCAAACAACAACAAAATAAAAAAAAATCAATCGCAACAAAAATAAAAGATTCTAAACAAATATTTCGATCCAAATGGAATATTCCAATTAGTGGTATTTTACATGTATAACGTATGTCATAACCTTTTTGATATATAAGATGCTCTACTTTTTTGATTTAGAAAGATATTTCACTACCACAATACAATTGCTCACATATGTGTTTATAACAACACATTTTAGATTCATTGTGCGACTTCTTTTCATATCATCTTTTGATAACATGGTTACTATTGATGGTGAATCTTCAACTTTACTTTCGCTTAGAGACTGTATTTATTTTGCAAATGGCAATTGTATGTTCAAAAAGAAATGTCATTATCGTCATTGTGAATCAGCTATGAAACAACTAGAAGAATGTTCCAATTGGCCAGATTCATGTCGTAATAAAAACTGTCCTTATCGACATACTAAAAAACCATCTAAAAACCAAAGAT